TTAAAAACACTAAGTTCCACATACTGCCTTGACCAGTGCCAGAAATATTTTCACTCTACCATTTGTCACGACCTGGTCTTCTTCCCGAGCAGTCACAGATCATTTAGAATCCAGTAGTACATACACACCAAATTCTTTCCCTTATCAATATTTGATCTCGCCATTTACCCAGTACTGTTCATTCACAGACTTCGGTTTGATCCCTCTGATGCTCATATCATTTCTCGTGGGAGAAGATGGTTATTTGTTTTCGAGGCAAGAAAAAAATTTGCTAGTCATGAAATATGATTAAAACCATGAAATATGGTTTTAACCTCAATTGTTATGTGGGATCCAACTTCCTTTCCCGAAGGTTATTTCATGTTCTGTGCAAAGTTGGATGCTTGGGAAGCAAATCCTGTCCCAGGTTTTAATTTTAGCATCAGAAAACTAAAAGAAAAATCTTCTGTGTTTTAGTAAAGGAAAAAAAAAAAAAAAAAAACCAAAACGAATGCATCAAATCTGCCCCATCTTACCTCCAAGACATTGGGGATTATATCATACTCGCATTGCTTCAAAAAACGATCTTTGTCAAACGATGGATCCACTTTGAGTATCTCTGTCAAAACCTCAGACATTTCTGTCTTCGAGAACAATCCACCTAATAAAACAATTCAGTGAGACTGTGGCTCGACAAGTGTCGCCAAAAAACAAGAGAAAAACCTTTGGTTATACAGCAGAGGGAAGGAACAGTCACCTGGGAATGACCGCAGGCTTTAAGTTAGGCTTGAGATTTATCCAGTACACGCGCTTGTCATCGCACTGCACTTCTGATCCAGTAGCAGGTTGCTACACCGCATGATACTGGATAATGATCCATGCAAAATATTATAAAGCTCCAGAATCTGTCCCAAAGGTTAGTACCACACGGAGGACAACAGCACGAACAGTCGCTAGGAACAGAGCTAAAAGGCTAGAGACACACTTTCCCAGCAATGATGAAACATTACCTATTAAGTCAGTGACTTTGTCTGTGACAGCTCTGGAAGCTCGAATGAATGCATTATCACTTTCATCATACTTCATTTTCATTTCAAAGAACCCTGAAAGGAGAAGAGACATAAGCTGCAGTGTCCTTCCACTACATTCCTGAATCAGGAAACAACACGCAACGGGTTGCAGATCAAACCTGCCAGTTCTCTTCTAAACCTCTTTGTTGATTAACAAGTTTCAATTCCAACAGTTACTTCTCTCCTCATTTTCCCGCAGTGTTCTTAACCATCAGTAAACATCACTAGGAGAACGATGGTTTTTCTGACTTCAGCAGCCAGAAACTCTGGACCTTTGATGCAGATTGTCAGGTAGAAACTACACTAGACTTGCTTACGCCAGTAACAGTCCGCTAACGCCCCGTGATCCAGTCTGTTACAAGGACTAGCAGGATGCGAAAACACCACCAGAAAGTTTAACTGGGGGGGAAGAAATCAAGAATAGACCTTAAATCTTGCCAACTTTTAATAAAATAGCAAGACAACAGTAAGGATGCCATTTTTAAGCAGCTCTACGTACTTCTCAGCCTTGGTAAGACAGCAAGTCAAGCACGTCACAAAACTACAGTAGTCATCGACGGGGAAAGAGAATTGCAAAGCAAAATCTCAAAGGCAGAAAGAAGGGTAGAGGGTGAAGCAAAAAATATAATTTAAAAAAGCCATTTAAGCAAGCAGGCATTGTTGCAACAAACTAAGGGCTCAACCAACCCATTATCTGTCTCTGGAGACCATCAGATGGCCCAGAAGTGCAGAAGGTAGTTGCGGGATAATGGGCCCTGCAGGGAAGCTTCTTCCCACCACGTCAATTAACGACTGGAATCCTGCCCTACAGCTTACGCTCCTTCCAAAAAACAGAGTGTTCTTGGTACAGGTGGTACATAAAGGGAGAGCACACACTGTAAAGCTTGGTGCAGCCACATCTGCGCTGTTGCCCGAATTGCAAAACCCCAGCCTTGGAAATACGCATAAAATCTGGAGAATGCACAGATGGCACAGGAGTGGAGGATGCAACATGTGGGGAGTTTTAGGAGCTGTGAGCATCTCTCCTTGGAAAGGATAACAAATGGGATGTAAAAACCCATTCTTGGATACCTCCCAAGGAGCTCCGCTTTAAGAAGTTGGGAAGAAACACAATCCAAAGTTAATTTTGTGCTGCGCTTTTACACAGCCTTTTTTTTCCTTAACAAGTCATTTACCCTGCAGTACACCGGCAGTGATTATTTTGATTTGTTGAAAGATTCTTGTCTCAGGCTTCTTTTATGCCTTTCAGAAACATTAAGTGTCTAGATAACTATCAAAAGTCATTGCCCGCTGCAGTATTTTTAGATTTGGCAATAAAAACAGAAAGGAGGCAAAGTCCCACACATTCCAGCGTTCTAAGCAGATGACAACAGAAACCAGCTCACTGAAGACAAGTTTTTTTTCCTCGTTATAAGCTCAAGGTCAGGAAGAAGAGATCTGCCTGCCCCCTCTCCAGTGACACGCATGCATGCCCTGGCCTCTTCCCAGCACCAGAGTGGATCTGACTAGCAAAAAAATAATTTTAAAAAAAAAAAAAAACCAACACCAAAACAGAATTCAATTCTCTTTAAGTAATGGCGAAAGCAGGTTTTGGTACCTACAGGGAGCAGGGACTGATCAAAACCAATGCCTGACTGGGGGAAGGGTCCGAACACAGATGGAGCAGCTTGGAAAAGCTGCAATGTTGTCAACTACGCCTACCTCCCATTCACACCACCTCACAGCAACAGCTACAACAAAAAAGAAATGGCTATGATTTGCATTATGTTGAGACTAGTTGCACAGATGGCATCAGATCCAACACAGCAAGAATCAGAACAGGGAAAATAACGTGCTACTCCTTTGTCTTTGGAACACTTACTATTGAAGACCACATTGTTGTCCTTGAAATCTTTCCACTGCTGATACCATTTTGAGTCTTTGTGCAGCACCATACCCATGGCCTCCCTAGAAAGCGCAGAAAACATGGGTACTCGTGAACAAGTAACTTGCAACCGCGGGAGAATAAAACGGAGGACATCCTGACGAATGTCACCGCAGCATGCAGCATCGCTGAGGCAGATACACCACGTAAACGATACACGACTTAGTGGAGCGAGGCAGCAGAGAAAGCAAAGGAGCTCTCAGACTCAGTCCCACCAAAGGTAATTCAATAGCAAGATGTTAGAACTGAGAAAACAACACACGCGCCAGTCAAAATTTCAGGTCAGAACATTATGGACCCACTTTATAATTTTCAGTGCCCAGTCGTACCGTCGGAAGATTCAGTATCATCAACTTATGCTGGAAATGTGCCCTCAGACGTACCTGCTCTGCTAGGTCATGCCTCACCCCACAGCCTCACTTCAGCACTTGGATTTTAACCATCCCTGACCTGTAGTTAAGTTTTAAAGTTTTTATCAAATTATACACAGAGATATTCACCCTAAATTACACCCAATACGTACTCATTAGCTTCAAATATTCGCTCCTCTTTAATCCTCTCGCCTGAGAATTCTGTTCTTTTTCGTAGTCGCTCCGGACGTTTGTAAGGACCAGTCTGCCCTAAAACACTTTCATCTATTTCCTTCTTAACGGTTTCTACTCCCTGAAAGGAAAATATCCCTATTAGGTTGATTTACCATTCCCCCGCCTTTCCCAGAAACTGAAAATTGCTTCTGCTGAAGGGAAAAAAAAAAAAAAAATAGAAAAAGAAAGGTAAGAGACCACGGGTTATTCAGTTATTCTCCTCTCCCTTATTCAGCAAATGCTGCTTTGCTGATGTCTACTGACAAACACACCGATACAAAGGCTTTCTGCTTAAGAAGTTAACAGTCTAGGACAGTAAATGGAGGGCTGTATTGAATCAACCTGAAGAAAAAAAAACAATATAATAGAAGCTATGGCCACAGCCAAATCTCACAGCTGATAAGGGGTAACCTCTACTGAGTTTAAATCGGAATAAATCAAGCCAGAGGATGGCATTATCAGCCCCCAACAGCAGCCAGCAGCTGCTGATAGAATGACAACCCCCAGGTAAAAGGAAGAATGATTCCTAGTAGCCAAAAAGGGGAAACGAAAGACTTCAGGACACCAACAATTAACTGCAAAGCCACCTGAAAGGTCAATAAAATCCAAGTTCTAGGCCCAAGCTAAAATAAACAGAAGTATTGCTTTCCCCTAAACAAAAAGGAGTCTCGCTTTTTACAGAATTCTACACACCTTCTAGCTGAGAAAATAGCTTCGAAGCAAACTGGTTTTTGCCAGGGAAGAGATGTGAAAAAAAATCACAGTAGTGCAGCTGATGCTAAAGGAGAGAGAGGAGATATTCTCCCTCTTGGGTGAGCCTACATCAAGAAAAGGGGCTTGATAAAACTGGCCTGATACACATCAGCTACATCTTTAGTTCGGGTTCTGCCAAGAGGAAGCTGCATCCTATCACAACCACTGTTGGGAATTTTTGTCATACACTTCAACAGGAATTGGAACTAAATGGTATTTTTAGTGTTTCGCCTTCATCTTGGCTGCTCTACTTTCACTGCTGAACTTTTGAGCAGCTCTTTCTCTAATGACTGTACCTACAAAAGATCTGCTGCACAATAAGTACACTTTCCTACTACAACTAGACACCTGCAGGCAGAAAAAAATTTTATATACGCTTTATGTACAGCTATTTCCCAATCCGCATTTTTATTGAGGACATGTCAGTTATGTAGCCCAATGCATCGTGTGGCTTTACGGGGGCTGCTATTTTTCAACTTTATTTTATGCAGGAATTTTCCGGAGAACACACAGAGTGTCCAACACAGCCTAAGCCCTCCTCCCCTACTGAAAGTCAACGTGACTGCTTCCTTAAGAAAGTTACAAGAGTGCTCAGGGCCAAGACAGAATGGACACCAGAGATCTGATATGAAGCAGAAACTGGAGTTTAAGTGACTTTACGCATCAAGGATGCATCAAGGATAAGCAAATAAAAAGCTCCAAAGCTCAGTCTGTTCCTACTGACAATAAAAGACCATCTGAGGGACCTGGCAGAGAAGAGAACAAGACGCAAGTCCCTGCGGATACCATCTAGCTCTAGATTATACAAATAAAACCTCTCCTAAATACTGAAGCAATGGGGATCTCAAAATGAGACTAATACTACAATTTCTAACATGGCATAAACATGGTTTTCTGAAGCAGCAGACTGAATATTCTAAATTCTACATACATACTGAAAGTATGGCAAAGCTACAAGAACTGCTCGCAGCCTATAAGAGCTCTGCAGATCAGTTAAATCTGACAATGAATCAAAAGGTTTATCCGTTTACAGGGAAAACAAATCTTTAAGCCTCAAAAAATTTGCTTTAAGGTCCCATAAAATCATTCACTGCTTATAAGGTCTGGCCTAGCAGCGTGTTTCATGGAAGGAACAAACAGTTCTTCGATTAGGAAGCTGCTGGGGTAAGATAACAGGTTTCATTATAGACACAGGCAAAAAAAAATAAAAAAATAGCGGATAATGTCATCTGCAGCTATGGCTAGAAGTGACCCATAGCAGAGGACGTTTTATTAGAAACACAGAAAGAGGGGAACTGACACAACTGACACTCCATCTGGCCCGGTATCTCCCCTTACAAGGGCTAAAGCCAACGCTTCAGAGGAGGAATGAGAAACCAGTCAAGGGGAAGACTTCTTTTTAGGCTAATTACCAGTTGACTGGGTGACACCAAAACATATAAGCACTTATCTATTTTCTAGAAGAGGAGAGCTTTACGCAAACCAGTTTGTTCCCACGAGTACCACTAGGACCTGTCTACAGAAGACATTTGCTACCTTACTCCACAAGCACAGCAATCGATTTTTCCAGTAACGCATTTCAGCAGAAGCTCAGCTACTTGAGACTCACACGTTTCGAGGGTTGCTGAGTGAATGTTAGACCTGCAAAACACATCTCCTGAATTTATCAGCTCATTCCAATGGCTCACAAGGTCCTGCTATAACAGTTCTGCATTTAATTTTATACTCAGCACAAACACGCGCATAACTTCCATGTTAATGAGCTGTGCCCGCAGCACCGGGCACTACAGAGGCATGGGACTTATGTACCTGAGAAATAGCTTTGAAGGCTGCTGTCTTGCCTAATTTCTCCCCTCCTTTTGTCACTGACTCCGCAGACTGCTTTGCTGTTTTTGCTGCTTCCTCCACGCCTTCCTTTATCTTTCGGCCAATATCACTCTTACTTACTTCATCCAAACTCTGCAACAAAACAAAACAGGAAAGAAAAGGTCATTTCAGGTGAAACAGGTGAGAACTTATTTTGAGTAACTCCTCTTTGCGAACGCTAAAGACCTCTTAATGCACACATGACGAGACTAACCAAACACAGTTACATGTCACAGCAGCAACTTACCAGGACACCGCGGCTTGGCACTGCAGCATTAGCCAACACCTCTGCACAGAACAACAAATTTGGCTATTCATGGGACCATATGCATTTGTAATAGCTGCTACCCACAGATTTAAAAAAATATATTTTTTTTTCTTGACGTCAAAGAGAAGGACTAATGATGCCAGAGTTAAAATACCCCAGCCCTTTCCTTTGGAACAATCAGGTAACTCTTGCTTCTTAAGAGAAGGTATAGAAGTCTTTGAGATAGCTCTCTGCTATGCAACTCTTCCTACAGAATTAGAAACACGTTTCTCAACCCAACATCCTCATATACATCACTTTAGTTGTGTTTACAGAGCCAAGATCATGTACGCAAGAGGCTAAAAGGACTCTGCCAGTAGCTGGTCACCCTTTCATTCTGCACTGGCACGCATCAGATCCTTGAGGATCTCAGGAATCTCACTGGCAGCAGGCAACCAACCCTGGATGGGTCACAAGGCACAACCTCAGAGGAAGAGAAAAGGACAGGATAACAGTACCAAACGGTTTTCCCTGGTTTTCAGTGAGGTTTGGCTAATAAGGATGCTTACAGCACCCTCATGAGTGCTGAAAAGATCAGCAAAGAGCATCACATCCAGCTCGTAACTGTGCGCAGAGTTAAGCTGCTACACCAAGGCACGTTTAGACAGAACGAGAGTGAAGGAGCACAGCAGAGAGCGGGGACCGGGTCCACAAAAACTTCGTATCACACCAAGCTGAAGTCCAGTGTTTGGCTGGCCGTTCCTCAGCGGCGATCCTGCACCCGACTGCAAGCGCTGGGAACAATCACACAGGCTTTGATCTTAAACCACTGCTGAAAACAGCCAAGTTCACTCTGCTCTGAAGCATCCTAGCTATGAACATGCGCTTCAACTGACAGACAAGGAACAGCCTCCCGAAGTACCTCTCAGCTGTAACTTACTGCAGAAAATCTTGTGCTCCCTTTAAGAGAAAGAGCAGTAAGTTTTCAGTCACTGCTGATTTAATTACTCTAATCAGTAGGAGGGAAAAACAAGACTCGGGTGCCTGGGAGTAACTGTCAGGATGGCAGACAATGCAACGACAGCCTTTCTCCAACTCTTCTAGCTCAGTGCCACCTCCTGGGTACTGACAGGTCTACAGCAGAAGGAAGGCTAACGATTAACCCAGCAGCAGATCTTCGAGCCAGCCGATTTGCGGGCACTTTTGCCACAAAGGAGTGAGTAGGACCGATATTGTCCTCTCCCGAATCTGCTCTCTCCTCCTCGTGGCAGCCCTGGAGACCCAGAGCAGTGGGTGCAGGCTGAGCACGCGGGAATCACCGGGTTACCGAACAGCAGGACCTGTCCTGTGAGACATCCCCTGGCTCCTCTGGAAGCAAAGGGGGGAGACACTGAATGGATGGGGACTCCTTGACTTCACGATGGTGCCCATGCTGAGAAGGGGGCAGAAAAGAGGGAATAAGGAATAAAAGGTTTTGCGCCCCGCTGAGGACTGCCCAAACGGCCAAGTTTTGCACCAGCTGAATTCACAGATACTGTAACACCGCAGATCAGGTTCTACAGGTGCCACACGCACCTGGTTTATTCCGTGTCTAACATACTATCAGGAAGACTCCTCAGAAATTTACTCCAGAGATAAAAGTCAAAGCATACTAAACACTCAAATACATCTGCTGCCCGGATGAACTCGGACAAGAAAGGAAGTAAATGATCACAAACTGTAGTGCTTAGTCCCAGCCTAAAAAATAACTTGAATTCAATCACTTAAAAGCAAATCTACACGGACACAGTGATCTTTAAAGTCTGAGCCTAGTGGGAGACGCTCATACCTGCTAGGCATGAACGATGCCTCCTCCTCCAGGCATTCTGTTATTCCAAGACACACAGAGCCAGGGGATCACTTACAGTACGCTGACTTAGAGGAGAGCACCTCAACTATAGCACCAGCACTCCTACACACAACACCCGGAGCCTCTGATGTTGCAAGTCTTTTTCAACACGCAGTAAGAAGCCCAAAGCCTCATCGTATTAGCAAAAAGTGTCAGTGTGAAGAGCATCGCATCTCCTAAAGAACTTTCCAGGGTGATCTTCCAGCATTGCTCTAACTGCCCTCCAGAGGAAGAACCACCTTGAAGCCTTTTTTTATTGCTACACAATGTAGAACCATAAGGACCATCTCCAGTCTCCAAATCGGAGAGGAATCACAGGACAGTGCCTGTCCTTTGACCATGCACTAATTGAATAAATCCATCACACACTATTGCTGCAATTTTGTTAATGACTCCAGCCTTAAAGATGCAAAATAGTGATCACCTTTGGAATAGCCACCGCCTTTCACCAAGAAAAAAGAAAGGGTGATAATTTGATTGCACACAAAACACATAACCTTAACAGCAGAACTGCCTCAGGGAAAGGTTCTTCCATAGCTGAGTTTTACCTCTTTAACTGTACCAGTTATTTCTTCAAGTTTCTTTTTAATCACTTCTGAGGTCTTCACTGTTTCAGATTCGATGGTTTTCTGTGGAATAAAACACGCCGCATTTAACTGTGAGGACAGAAAATACTCAGAAACCATTTAGCACATAGCACACCCCATTAACACTGTAATTGAGGGCAAAACGAGCTACATCTTTGGCAGCACGCTACTTGAGTAACCAGCATCAGCATTTCATTTTTGCAAGTAATGCTGTTTATAGTTCTTCAAAGAATGCAAAAGAAGTATTTAAATACCGCCAATGTTGAGTTTAATGCCTCGTTATTTTATCTGCTCATTATTTGGGAAATCCAGTGAACGGTCTGCTGGAAAGATTTGCCACTAAAAAAATCCCAAACCACTCTAAGGCATCCATTTACAAGTCAGTATTTCCAGCCAAGCAGAACTTCCCATAAAAACAGGCATGCCGAACTAAACAGTTCATTTGCAGAAAGATTCAGATTTACATTCAGAACAGTAATAGCTCAGTGATCGGGCAATGAAAACGTCAAAGGAATTGACGAGGAAGACTTACATATTTCCTCCTTGCTTCTCGAAGCGCATCAGATTCTTCCAGCTTTTTAGCTTCATCTCGGAATTTTTTAATACTTTCTTTCATCTCCTTGTTTTTCGCTAATTCCTGTTTGATGTTCTCCACAAAACCAGATATAAAACCCTTTCTTCCTCCAGAAGAGTAGCATCTAGACTAAAGAAAATCATCACATGTTTTAGAAGGCAAAGAGACATTAAATTAAACAAGTATCAAAGCCAGCAGGTAGATTTACTTAAGACAAGCACGGGATCACTTCTAATGTATTAAATGTTGTGGAAAACACAGAGCTACGTTGAAAAAGCAGCAGCTTACCCCCAAAACAGCCAGATGTCCAACACATTTCTGACGCCCTGTTATGTACATCTATTATTATACAGCTATTAAAAAAAGATGCTTCTCCAGAGGTAGCTTAACTCCAGAGGTTAGTTCAGGTTTAAACAATTTGGTAGATGAAGTCAGCAGAGCCCCAGCTCCTGAACTTTGTCACTTGGACTCAGCTACTATGAAACTCGAGTTCACCATCTTAAAAAACGGAAACTTTCAACCTAGATCTGGTGCTTCTCAAAAACACAGCCCCATCTAGTAGATCAGTACTCTAACGGGAAACCACTTTCAGCCTGAAATACAAAAAATTCAGCCGTTAACCAACCTGGTGGATCTCTAACACAGGTCTGCTCATTCTATACACTGTACCGCTGCGGACTGCGGGAACGGGGTATCTTCTGGATATAAGCCACATGCCGCTGATGAGACATTTCTGCAATGAAAACATAAAGATCAGGTTAGCGCACAATGCAGGACGACAGCAGTCTTAACGAGCCAAGGGCAAAAGGAAAGAATACTGCAAACAGACAACATTCACTGGTCTGCCGGGAACACGTGCCAAGCGCTGCCAAGAAACGCTGCAGGCTGGTTTGATAAAAGTCATCCATAAAAGCTCTTTTATGCGTTTGAGCCGCACTCCATCCACTTCCAAGTTCATTTTGATAAAACCAAAGCTGCAGTCTGAAAGGGGGCAATACGCTTTTCACAGTTACTTGAGAAAACGTACGTGCTGCCCAGAACGGTGATTTTATGAAAAACAGTGACGCACAAGTAAACCCACCCTTGATTGAAACATTTGTTTTATAATATTGAAGCGTAATGTAATGTAATGTAACATAGAAACTTCTTGTTTCTTTCTAGGAAAACAGGCTTTAAACATAACTTTCTCCCAACTGCGGAGGAAACCCAGGACCCCTCTGCGTATAAGCTTTGTGGCGCCTGAAGTCAGAGACAAACACGTTTTGCCTCAAGTCATAGAACAGAAAAGACACAGTGGAAGTCCACACACAGAACGATCACTGAGAAATTCTGCTGCACCTTCCTGAGATCACAAGTTGCAAACTGTTGCATCATGTGGTTAATCCTTCAGTCCATTGTCCTGTACTGAAAACAGACTATGCCGAGTTTGTACATTCTTGTCTTTACTCCCTTAAAATGATCTTTCGGCACTGACCTAGCTCCTCTTTCCCACATTCTGGGAAAATCTATTTGGCCTATCCTTTGCTTCCAGACAGGCAAAAGCTGCACCTTTTACCTCAAACTAACTTCCAAGCTCTTTCTCTGCAAGACCATCTCTCAAACTGCTCACCCTAAGAAATAACAAAAAAAAAAAAAAAAATCCACAAAGCAAAACATGGACAAATCAAATGGGCTTTGCCATTAGAAGACTTTGGAAAACTATTTGTAAGCTGAGAATATTTAATTCTGTGTCCAAGCCAACACCAACACATCCACCTCGTTATCAGGCTCCTAGAGGTTGAAAAGGTTTTGGGAAGAGCCACACTGTCCGGTCCTGTGGCTTCATCGACGCCACTGCCAAACACCGCGAGCTAAATCCTGACTTTACACCCGAGACGTAGTAACGGCATAGTTGCCCCACATATCTTGCTGGCCCAAAGACATGCGTTACGTTAACTCACTGGTTTCTACACTCCTGTTACGTCACATCGTTTCAATTCAGCTCCCTCTTATTTATTGCCTCTCTAGTTACACCTAAGCTTCACTAGCTTAAAGTTTAAATCAAGGAAGGAAACGCTCTCCATCTTCAAACCTGGCTGCCCGAGTCATGGCTTGGGCCAGGTTTTGAAGCAAGCAAGAACAATATAGATATTATATGCATAACTCAAACGGCTATATTAACTATAAGAACAGCATTAAAACCTGGGGCAGACTGCCTGCTGGATTTAACTGATTGCAGTTCTTGACCGAAAGGTGCATTTCTGCCACGCCGCTAAGCAGAAATGCTTAACCCCACGTTTAGCTTCGGGCACAAAAGAAGATCGACCCCCTTCAAAGCGTGTGGCACTACAAAGTGGTTTTTAAAGCCAGAACCTTTGCATTCAGTTCACACACAT